AAAAGTAGAATCTGAAAAATCCATAGATTACGTTTTGATGATAAATTTCACAGTAACCTGTGACGATTGATTTTAGAATTTTTACCTTGACCAGGAATAATTTTAACCTGTTACATAAATCCCACGACCACACATGCCGATATTTTGTTCAATTTTCTGTTATCCAGCCTACGATATAGTCGAACATATTATCAGACGAATTACAACAAAATTAATATGTACCTCGCAGTCATCCAATAAGATACGCGTACAATAAAATTTCAGTCGAATAACAAAGAAGCATTTACATAATTGCTAGAAAGGCGACCGATTTATCGACAAGTTGCGCACAGAGCAGAACACCGTTCGCCATGGTGGTTCATTTTTCACTATGATTCCCCGTAGGCAGGAAATATCGTCACGACATGCAACGACAGACGCCGAGGAAGCGCCGACATGCAAAAGAAAAGCAAAAAAGAATGGAAAGTATAATAGAGTTTACATGGCACTCCTCGCGTGCTCTGGGGCGAATGAGACTCAGGGACGTTTTTTTAAGGGGGTCAAGGGGACCCTACGCCCCGGGGCCGTCTTTATTAACGTTGACCTCTCTTTCTTTCTCCCTAGCTCGAAATCGAAATTCTCAAAATTTCTTACAAAAATGTACCCCCGCTTATCCTAATGTGCAGACTTAAATTTCCGTTGAGAGTAATCGTTTATTCTTCTCATTTCCATTGTACGTTTACTGTTCTCTAATTCGTTCGTTGATAAGGGGTTATGCATTGTAGTTTGAATAGAACGAATCACAAGAGCAAAGATCCGTTTCAGAGATGGCCGACGCTCTGAGAAAGCTATTCGAGGCGTGACACTAATTTATGGACACGTTAGCAGCACGCGTATCAGCCAACGAGATCCGTGCAACCTTAAACTTGCATCCGTGCGTATGATTGCATAAAACTGCTGACTTTGCCGTAGTCACGAATGCGGTTAATGGAATATCATTGGTGACGTCGTAACACGTAGATACTGGCCTTTCCTGTTATAAATGTCAATTAAGTAATCAATTTATACGCGGAGTTTTTGAACGTAAAATCTTAATTGTCGATTAACAATGTATTGTATGTATAATATGATGCTGTAAGGGAGTGAAGTCAGATCAGATTAGAGTCGCAATTACGAAAGAAAAGGGATATACGAAGATATTAAAGTAAATGTAAAGATTCGTCTGACGAGGGAAATTTTTTTTTTTCTTTAATTACATGGCGATCTCCGTGTTACATTAGTTCACGAATACGGTATTCTCTTCACAATGTCACGACCGTCGTGCGTGATTCCGGCACGACGTCACGGTCCCATTGACACCAACCACAACCACCTTAAACACCCATAAAACATTTTCGTGACCTCTTTTTCGTGTAATTCGACGAACAGAGGCTTGTTCTCCATTTCCGGTGACATGAAAGCACCAATACACTCGGCACGCTCGAAAAAACCTTTCACACGTTCCGCCGATATATTGTGTGTACCGGTGAATTCGTAAACGATACCGCGGGTTTCATTACTGATTTGAATGCTCCCGGTATACGTGGAATCGAGAGCGGCATGAATAATTCCATTCTATTATTCTGCCATCTCGTAGTTCTACCGAAAATGCGTAAAAACTAGATAAATTACAATATTCTCCGCTTAATGGACACAACGTTATAAAAGAGGAAGTTTAAACATTCACGAGAAATTTAAACGCGCTACGATACATAGAGTGTGCTCGTCATAATATTTGGAATATGAAACAAATCCATGGTTATATTATACAACCATCCATAATCACCGATCGTTTCTGATCGTAAAAATACAATGGTTTTCGCACAAAGCGTATTAAACAGAACATGTGTTTATTTTTTGTAAAATCAATTTATTTGCCTGTACGACGATTTACGAATAGAGTGTAGTGTGTGGAACGATTCTCAACGCCCACATTGGGTACGTTTTATTAAATTTGTTTTTTTACGGCTTTTTACGGTATAATCTATACATAGCAGTACGTTCCAGAAACGGAAATATATTTTACACAATGGCCATACACGTGACTTTAATTGGAGGGAGAAATAATTGCCTCCACCTATGAAAATGTGCAAGTGTTCCTACAAAACGCGTACGTTCCTGAATGCGGTTACATCAATGAGCGTAGCTTCTTAATGCTATTACTGTAATTTATGACCGCGCTATATCGTTTCCTCCTAGTGTATATACATACACATGCATTACCAGAGAATGGAAATATCGGAAGCATCATCGGTATTATTTTTGCGTGGCTGAATAAAGAACGTGACTCGGAAGAAGACGGTCGGGAGAAGAGTGTGTGAACTAGCTGAGGAAACCTTTCGAGAATACGTTACGTATGAGAACATAGTTCATATAATTTCGTAGCAGCATGCCAGAAAACTTGCATTGGCGAAGAGGAGCTTCCTGTAGGAGGGAGCCTTGGGTACCCGGCGGTGAACCATCGTTCTAGCGCGACACGAGGTCGCGAAAAGACACGAGCATCACCGAAGCTCAGTCGAACGCGGCCGAGACGTAACGAAAGCGTACGAGGCCGCAGCCACAGGGGTGGGGACTCGCGGACGCTCAGTAGCTGAGCTCAGTCGAGCCAGCGCCGTGATCGGAGTTGGAATAGTGACTGGCGAACTGTGTTCCGAGCAGGCGTATCCGCTCTCGGCGTTCTAGTCGCTCCTGTAATCACGCGTACACGAAATTAATTCGGTTCGGCTGGCAAAACCGAGGTCGAATATTCGAATCAGTCGTCTCGTCTCTCGTTCGATCGTTTCTTTGGCTCCCGCCGTGTACTCCTCCTACAACTTCTCTGTCTTTCCCCGTCGTACACGCTCGATTCACCGACAGTTTAGTTGTCGCTGCTCGTTAACCGCCGTGATTGACTGTCGCGAAGGCCTTTTTTTACGGAGCCGCTACAGACATGGCAGTGAAAATGCGGTAGTGACAGTGGTACACTAGAGACAGGGATAAGAAGGGAATCCCTGACTGCGTTTTGTAGGCGCGAGGACGCCACGAGTTTACTCGAGAAAATCGAAGTGAACGAAATTACGGGGAGAGGCTCCTTGAAGCCCAGGGCCAGAAGTTATGACGAGCTCGTGTGTTCGAGGACGAGGAATTTACGCGCATGTGTCCAGTGGGATTTAGTGTCGGCGATAAACCATTCTTTCCAGATCTGGATACCTTGCTCTCGACACCTACGGGACCTGGATTATCTCATGTCAGGATGGCGCTGGCGCGGTACGTACTTTCCTCTTTCAACACTCCGAACCTCGTCGTCATTGCGTTTAGGGTGGGTCTTTGCTCGGATGTATTTGTTTTTCCTCTTTCTCGTACCTCGTTCAATGTTATTAAGTGTTTTTATTGATCCAATACCACGGTTCGACGTAGCCAAGCGTTATTGGTCCTCGTTATTTCGGGTTATTCATGGTTTATCTCGATAATATTATGCGTAATCGTATCATCGTGATAGGACAAACACGTTGTGGTGGTCACCGGTGACCGGCATTTGTCTTTTCTCGCTATGGCTCTAATGGTCACCGACCACTGACGTTACTAAACTTTTCCCAACGATTGAAATAATAGATCAGTACCAATGAAATGTCGATCTTCTCGATAAAACGTTAACTGTTACATGATTCGTTTTCCTTCTTAGCGAACTAATCTATGTATTGACAAATTGTCTATGTAGAACAGATGACACGTCTAACCTCCAAATGCAGAATGTAAGAAAATCCACGGATTCTCTTGACGTTCATGACAACCAATAACAAGATTTTAATATTTTTATTAGAAGTCTTCTTGACATTGTATATGCAAAATTTATACTAAATTTCTTTTTTTTTTTTAATTTTGATGGACAATTGACGTTCAAACAAAATTTAATAGGTGACACGTCAAATTCACAATTTGGGAAGACATTTCATATGCGCTAACCTAATAAGATAATCTTTTTTGAGATAATTTTTAAGAATTTAATCTGTGATTAAATAATAATCTTTAAATTAAACGCTAATTATTGTATATCTATAGGAAATTGCATTGTATTTTTACAACAGTATGATAGAACTCGTTTACACATTTCATGAGAAATGCGTTTTTCGCGAATGTATACCGGTGTCCCTTTGTTTTGAAGTATTCTGCTGCAGATGCCGGTATCTGCTACATAGAGTGCGCACTGGTCAACGACCTATTCCTACCATACAACTATAGTCAACAGATTTAACAGATTTATATACGCTCACGGGTATATTTACATAGCTGTCGTATGTGTTCTTTCTCGACGTGATGCGTACACGATACCGGGAGTCGTTATTAGTTTGAAAGTTCTTGGTCAAGTCGGTTGCATGGCGAAGCAAAGACGTCAAGGTTAGTACACCTTTTTACGTTAAGTCGACCTTCCGAGTACGATGCGGGCTTCGTCACGGTTCGACAATCTGCCTTTATACTGAAACGTTTGACCGTGAATATGAGTCGATTTAATTCAAACATAGAAACATAAACAATCATATCTTCCGGTCAGTTATTTTCTTTCTCTGTTTCTCTTTCTTTGTGTTCAGAAAATTCTTCGATCGACAATCGGTGCCACTACACACGCTGCCTAACGTCTACATATAAATATATAGTTACGTACGTTTTTGTTGTGTCGACTGAAGACTTCATTTTAAAAGTATATTCGTACATTTGTAACGAATATTAGCCTACAAAGTTGTAAAAATGCTTTCGGAAGAAAGTCATGAATTTTTGTACATTATTTTGTACATGGATCATAATCACGAATATATATATATAGCGGTGAATAAAAGAAAGTTCAAGATTGATACATTATGAATTTCGATCTTAAAAAGACAATAAAATCTGCCGGCGGATATATATACTTAACAGATTAAATAGAAATAATCGAAAATAAAGGAACATCCACAAAATATCGAATGAAAACGTAACAAAATTAACATTGAGTTTATATCTTTTTACAGGTAGAAACACAGTTTTAAGAGGAAATTTCATCTTTTCCACGCTTCGGGGAAAGGAAAGTTTTATTTGTTGTATCGTCAGTTTTGTTTTACGTTATAATATAAAATTATAATTATAAACGATTTTATCTTGAATTTTTGTTTTAATATTATGGAAAATCTGAAACAAGGGTCGAGTTTATAATTATTCACAGCACTATATATTATGTTTGCATAGTGATCGCCCTTATTATTATCTTATTAAATATAAATCCGTTATTAAAATTATTCCAGCTTTTTATATCTTTTATTTTATAAACATTCTTTTGTCCGCCACTGCATATTACTTTCTCTGTTCAAACTTTTTATCAGCGCGATAGAATACGCAGCGTGGTAGTAAACAGCCTTCGTAGCACATACTTATGCTCGCGTACGATCGAATCGTGACAGAACTGGCAATGAAGCTTTCTACCAAACCCGTGGTCGTGCTCGTATGCAATCGCCAACACAACAACATCGCCTTGTGGTCTAAACCATCAGCGGTTAGAATGTATTTCTTTGTGGCTGCTTTATCGAACGTTGGTTTATCTCGCGGACGCAACGTTGAAGGCTTCTATTGTAATATTTCGTTCGATTCGGTTTAACAAAGGTGGGGGAGAATAGTGTCGAGAGCAAACGAAACATTTAGTAATTGAATGTAGCGAATTAAACAATGGTAGGGTATCGTACGAGCCGACAAATGGGCGTACCACTAGTAGTTTCACCGACAGACCTTCTCTTGATGAAGACTATTACTCATTACACTTCCTGCCCGGCAGAACGCTATCGACTAAAGTGATGAATCACGAGGCTATAAGCAGATCTTCGACTTTATAATTACAATTTAATGAATGCGGCTACGATGATCGTGTGGAACTTCACCTGCTGCTAACCTTGGCATTGTACAACTAAACTTTAGCGCGAACTTACATTTCCAACCAGCCACTTTTTTTATGGTTAGACCTGCTCTGTGCTTGATGGATTAAAAGTACATGTTGCGTTTTAACTTATTAGCGGATTACAAGCGTACACGTGATTGCACATGCATCAATGCATTTGAGTATACATTTGCTTAAGCTTGTCATTATAATATTGTTTACCACGTTGGATAGTGGTGGATGAAGTTGTCGGAATTAACTTCCTATATTCGTTGGAATTTGTATTCGATGACGCGTTAGTTTCTAGTTTTTGTGTAGTCTATCGATAACAAACGTATCATGAAAGTAAAGATGTAGAATGTTTAATTATTCAGATGGTTTTCCTTTGGGATTTAAATGACGATACGTTGTTAAGAAATTCTGCGCTACTATTTTCGGAATACTCCTTTTTCCCTGGTGTATCGATAAACATTTAGAAACTTCGTGTATTTTTGAGCTTCTTTCTTTCTTCGTGCTGATAAATTCTTAAAAGATTCGAGATCTTGCTGTTCCTTAACGGTTGATAAATGCTTGAAAATATATCACATGTTTTCGTGTCTTTTTCTTTTTTTTGTTTAAGCCTGAATCGATGAACATATATGTTGTTTGAGTGACTTTTCATATTTTAAACTGATACTGTTTACTTTTTTTTTTTACCGTATTTTCACTCTTTTTTAGGCATTGATTTACCTCGACCCTTTCTCTGACAAAATCGAAATCAAGGTAGTTCGCAATGAAGCCACTAAAAGTACATAGAAAGTTCACGCTATCATAACTTCTCCGAAATTGTCTGGCTCGAGTTCACACGTGAAAGTTTCACATTTGAACAGAATTTCGAATATAAAATCACTCCGTTGGTCTTTCTCATCAAAACGGTTACGGTTTATATTACGTGAACTACGAATAAATCTTGATTTTTTTTTTTTAATACATACATCGTATTAATTTACACTGTGTTCTTTTTATTCTAGTTTTTCAACGTATTGAAATATGCAGTATTTAATCTGACTTAATTTCGTCTACGAATAATCTGACTCCTTTCTGCGTAGATATATGTAATAGGGTCCAAGCGATTAACCAATCGCGTAAAATCGTCTAATTGGCAAGAGAAGCGTTTCTCCCGAGGACACTCGCTGCGCGAAAGGTAATTTCAAATCATTAACATAACTCAAAGCGAATCGACTGTCGTTCCACGATCAATCAGTGTCTGGTGAAATTACGTTAAACGCTTTACGATGAGAATTGATCGACTCCTGGGTAGTGGCAGTTCCTCACCTAGGACAGATGTCGGTCGATGCAATTCTCTTTCTACGATATTGCGTTAATCCCATGAGAAACATCTATCGAACCTCGGGAAACGTATTGGCTATAGATTACCTGCAATTAATCCTCTGATTTTATCGCAATTTATCTCCTTGAAAGGGAATAATTAATTTCAACTACAACTGTAATATTTGATAATTTATTTGACTTTTGGTTAAAATTTCCGCGATGGCGTTTGGTATAATTTCCGCGATTCGCTGCGTTACTCGATCTACCATTTCATAATGAAAGGAATTAGCGCAAGAAATCGACCAGCATCGAACTTTACACTCGTGTGTAACGAGCGTCATTTAGAATCATGGAAAAACCAAACTGATTAGAATTAATCGTTTTGTGTTCGAGAAACTTAAAGAAAATTAATCAATTTGGCTCGAGTAACCTCGCGGCTTCCGCACATCTTTTCGAATTTGTTTTACAATGTTATCTCAATGCTAATACGATGTTAAAGTGCGACGCGTATGATTCGTTCATAAAAGGTTTTCGTATCAACATTTCAGACACTTTGGTGAGTCATTGGACGTTAATTTCCATCTGTTGGAAACACGGTGAAGCGATACAGGTTCGGCGATAAATTCGAGGACATTGACGACGCGTTCGGTAGCGTAAAAGTTTTTAGCATAACGTACTCACTGATTGTCGCGTTAGATGAATCGGAAAAGCTCTTCGACCTTGCGTTACGGCGTTATCGCGTTTGCGTCATAATATTTTCTCGTCAGTGGCACACTGAAAAAGGCAGAAATCGCTTTGAATGCTCTTTGTCCCCTTCGTGTACACACAGCTGTTCCATTATCGTTGTCTGACGACATCTAAAATATTCTTGCCCTTGTATACACTTGCATACATATACACTCATAAGTATGTATCTGAACACTTTGATCGATTCGTATAATACGAAGTAATAGAAGTCTTATTAAAGTACAAAAGTTCTTGGCGAACAGGTATTCTTCTAGAATCCGAAGAATACAAAATGAAATTATGTAGTAACTCATTATGTTTGGAACATAAATCCTATCTGCCACACATCATTCTATGAATAATTTACGACTAAGAGGCGACATTTCGTGATTGTAATACGCATTTCTTTTTGTTTGTCTATCGATTATCGTATCTGCGGTTGATACTAAATTGAAACATCATTGGAAAATCATAGGAAGATTATATTTTCTGAGTAGAAATCGTTCATCGTGCATTTTCCATAGGTATTTTATAATAGAAAGGAATATTCAATTGTAAGGTACATACTAAAATGCGTTAAATACTATAATTAAAAGGGGTACACAAGGAACGGTCGAAACACAGTATATTATACATATTCATGAAGGTCTGCAAATTTATTAGCATATTTTCTAGATAAACATTAATCTTATGTATCATTTCTTACAGTCCCTTTCTCTCTTTCAATTCAAACAGATGATAACCAAAATAAATTGTACTAATATAATATAAATAAGTATCAATTGTATTTATACGATTATAGAGGAGAATGTTTGTGAAGCTCGTCAATGATTTTGAATTATTAAATATATTGTCTGCGATCTTTTCTTGATTGTTGATTCTAGTCGCTCTTCCGTTTTTCCCCGCGGAAAGTCTCGAAATATCCTAGCTCCAAGGCAATGAATTACCCCGAAATAGAACGTTGTTTCTTTGAAATCGTATCGATCTTCCGCGTCCTCGTCGCCTCCTTAACACCGTCGACGTCGCGTTAAATTTAAGATCTCCCCGTGGAAACTTTAGAAATTTCATCGTCGTGCTAATGTCCATCGATTAATCATACGAAAATATCGCTCTCTTACACATTAAACATACTATCGTTAGAAAGTCTAGAACTGTTTGGAATCTTTATCTTTGTTTCGTGTTAGTTTAATGCGAACAGTTTTGAAATAATCGTTTCATTTTCAGAGTACTGCGAAAAATATGGCAAAAGGGCAATATGTGAACAATATTGTTACTCACGTTTATCGCATTCTCCCTATATTTTTATCCATTTTTGTAACTTTCTATCAGCAAGCGTCCATTTATTGATATTTCTCCTTTGTTCTATATTGTTTGTAACCGTGCTTCGACAAGTAAGTAAGTAAAATACTGACGCGTGTTTGTATTAGGAAAACGCGGATGGTCGGTATACCAAAAATTGCGCAATTTACTTTCAAACCTAAATTCGTGCTATGTTATCTCTGAAAAAAAAATGCTGTAACGTGTTGCGCAACAAGCGTGCTTATCATCGTCAATATTTTTGATCCGGTGACTTGACATTTCTGACACGAGGAACACAGGAAGCTGGAAAAAAGAAATATATAATTGTCGTAGCAATTAGCATTTGCAATGATAATTTCTAATAACTTTTACATATATCGTTTGGAAAGTGCGAAAATTACATTTGCGATGTTATCTTTTCATGAAAAATCATACTTTGTTTTCTGAATCGGTCGTGCGTACTGGTTGAAAGATATCGTGACGGTGACAAATTATAATAATTCGACTAACAAGTCTGCTCGAAGTACGTAATTGCCTGACGATTATTTTTAAACGATTGCCCACCGTAGTCTGGGTAATTTGAACATGTTTGAGAATCATAAAAAGCCGAGACCGAGTGTTTCAAAATATTTACTTTTAATGTTGTGGTAATGGTTTTTACTGATTTTTATATGATAATTATCGAAATTCGTTTTTTTTTTTTTTATTATTCACTCATTTAGATATTTTATTGAATCGTTTAATAATGTTATCCCTTTAGTATTAATTCCTTAATTTAGCGTCAATTTTTCTAGATATGTTTGCTTTCTTATGGAAAAACCAAGTCCTTGAGTACAACGTTACACGTCGTCGGTAATTCTCCTTTCTCCCAATGTGTATACGAACACAAAGCGAAAGAACCTTCGATCGATCATCGTATCGTGGACATTGGTGCTCCGAAGCATTCTTACTGTCCTTTGCCTTCCCGTATAACAATTTGTATACATTTCAGCGAGGCTCGCTGCGTGGAACGGTTAAGTAAACTTGGTTAGCGCTCTCTAATTTTACGTGCTCGTACGTGGAGGACAGAATAATTGTCATTGGTGTAGGAAGGAACGATTGACATTAATTCAATGACGAAAGGAATGGAATTGAATTGAATTGAATTGGAAATAAAGTACTTTTTGTCGTTCTCTTTTTATTCTTGTTTATGTACACACTCTTCGTGCTTCTTTTAATCTTTTATTATTTTTATTGGCATTGATCTCGTTAAGTAGAAGAATTCCATAACAAGTAATAAAATATAGAAAATTATCTTTTTTTTTTTACTGAGGAATGCTTTTAGACGTTTTTCTAAAAAACATTCATCCCTGTTATTTGTTTCTTTTCTTTTTTTTAATATGATTAATACGGTAGCCGTGCGATGTTTATAACTTTGTAAGATTTGATTTCTTGAAGAATCGATTTCCTTATTTTTAAATGTCCATCCTTTACGCATGTGTTGTTCGATAAATTTATAAATAAAAGATCTGCCAGTTGATTAAGCAATCTCGTTATAGAATTTTCTGTACTTCGGTACTTTGGGAATTTCCTTTTACTCCCAGAAGTAAAATTACCATTTACAAATTCTATTGAATAATCGAACACGGTAATACAAATAGGGCATGTTAACAGCCATTGAAACATCCGTTGGTAATAAATTTTTATCGACAACTCCATCGCAACTTCGAAACCATTTATCATTATCCCTGGTAATTCCACTCACTTAGCCTCTCTGATAGCACTATTTTTCAAAGCCCATAGACAGCCGCTCGTACCTCAACCTTCGAAAATCTACCAGGAATATCTCTGTGTTTCTAATTCACCCACTTTTTCCAAAACATTTTTCTTCTGTCCAATCCTCATCAATCTTCACTGTTTCTTAGCTTCGTGTATTAACGTACATTTACCCAAGTCAGTAATTAATCTTTATTTATTTTTGCATTCGATATCGTTTACGTAACTCAGAGTTGCTGCTATTTTTCGCTTGTTAATT